CCATCTATTAGGCATTCGTGGGAAGAGTGGAAGACTTTATTAAGAGAATCCTTTCCGTCTACCGAGAACTATGCTGAATTGCTTACCGAAATGCTTAATAGAAAAGCGCGCCCTGGTGACTCCTTAGAATTGTACTATTTTTCTAAGATTAACTTATTAAATCGCTGTAAAATATTTGGTAAGCAGGCAGTAGACTGCTTAATATTTGGTATTGAAGACAAAGGAATTCGGTTAAGCGCTCAAGCAGGAAAATTTGATAGACCCGAGGGGGTTTAAAAAAACCCCCCCAAAAACCCTGGGGTAAGGGGGGGGGAAAAAGGGGAAAAAATAGGGGTTTAAATTAAACCTTTCCATTTTACAGAAAATTCCCCCCCCAAAAACTTGAAAAATATCCCCGGGAATTTTTGACCAAAATTTTTCTTAGAAATTTTTAGTTTTTAAAACAGATTTTTTTTAAACAAGTTAAGGTTAAAAATTTTCAATTTTACCCAAAAAACTTTTTTAAAATTAAAATATTTTAAAAAAAAATTTTGTTTAAAAACAAAAAATCTTGGTACAAAGGTGTGTTTTTTTTGCATAACCAAAATTTTTGTTTGTTTTGTTGTCCCAAAAAAAAAGAATTTATAAATGATTATTTAAAGAAATTTTTATAGGAAATTTTTAATGGGTTTTTCAAAGAATTTTAAAAGGGGAATTTTTTAAATTTGGGGTGAAATTTTTGGGATGGGGGGAAGGGAATTTAATTTTCATTTGGACTGGATATTTACCAGGGGGAAAAAACCCCGAAGAGTTTTATTTTTGAGTGGGTTTTTTTTTAAAAAATAAATCTTTATTTTTGGGTTTTTTGATTGTGAAATTTTGGTGTTTGGGGGGGGGGCAAGAGTTTTTTATCATGGAATGGGGTTTGTTTCTGGAGTTGGGTTTTTCCCTTTTTGGGGTTTGGAAAAAGGTTTTTTTTTTTTGGGGTTTAAAACCCCCTTTTTTGAAATTTTCAAAAGTTTGTTTTAGAAATTTTTTATTTTTTTTTAAATTTTTTTTTAAAAAAATTTTTTGGTTTTTGTTTTTTTGTTTTTAAATTGTTGTTAGAACTTGAAGGGGTGTTTGTGGGGTTCCCGGGGGGGGTATTTTTTTTCGTTTTTTTATTCCCTTTTTTTATTTTTTTTAAAAATTTTTTTTAATTTTTTTAAAAAAAATTTTAATATTATTTTTTATTATTGTTTTGATTTGCAAATTTTTTGGGTTTTTTTTTTTTTTTTTTTTTTTTTAATTTTTTTTGGGGTTTTGGGGGGTGTTTTAAAAAAATTTTAAATTTTATTTTAAATTTTTTTTTGAAATTTTTTTGGGGTTTTTTGGTGTTTTTATTTTTTTTTTGTTTTTGGGGTTTTTTTTTGGTTTTTAAAAAAATTTTTTTTTTGGCTTTATTCCCCTAGGGGGGGGTTTTTTTTAGGGGGTTTTTTTGGAGGTGGGAATGGGAAATTTTTCTTTTGTTTTTTTTTTTGTGGTTTTTTTTTAAAGGGTTTTTTTGTTTTTTTTTTTGAAAAAAAATCCCCCCCTTTTTTTGTGGAAAAAGTTTTTGGGCAGGGTTGGTTTGGGGTTTCCCTTTTTTTGGGGGGGCTGGGGGTTTTAAAAAATGGAAATTAAAATTTTGTTTTTTATTGGGGGTTTTTGTTTTTTGTTTTTGGGAAGGTTTCCCTTTTTTTTTTTGTAAGTTTTTATTTTTTTATTCAGATTGGTGGCCTTTTAAAAAATTTTGGGGGGGGGTGAAAAGGGAAAAAAAAGTTTGGTAAAAAAACCTTGGTTTTATTTTGTTTAAAGGGTTTTTTTTTGTTTTAGTTTAAAAAAATTTTTTTTGGTTTTTTTTTCTTTTTTGTTTCATTTTTTAAAAAGGGATTTGTTGGGTGAAAATGAATTAAAATTTTTGTGTGGAATGTGTGTTAAATTTTGGTTTTTTTTAAATTTTTTTTTTTTTGTGTTTTAAATTTCTTTGGGATATTAGAACGGGCAGTAAAATACGTTACCTACGCACAACAACAGGAAACTTAAGACATTGATGTGATGAAAATCGATTGAAAATAATTTAACCTCAGAAAATCTCTTGCTCCATTTTTAATTTTGAATAAGTCTCAAAACACAAGAAATACAAGAAGTTCGTTCGAGTTTCAGATAATGGAACGCGGTAGCCCTGATGATAAACGGTGTCGAAGTCGTAGATTTCGAACACCCGTACCACCTGGAAGCCTCATACTACCAACAATGGAAGTCGAACGTGATGCAGGGAACAGCGGTGGTATGCGACGAAGTCGGAGCCGCGTGAGACACGAACGTCGGAGCCAGGATCAAAGCCGAAGCCGGAGCCGTCACCGCATCCGGAGCATCCAACGCAGCCACCACAGTAACCGTGAGCTATTATATCAGAACCTGAATTTACTTGAGAATAGACCGAGTCGTAGACGGGAAATATGTGGTGGATATCAACAACGCAGTCGCAGTCGCAGTAGACCTAGGAGTAGCCGCCATAGCCGTAGTCATAGTCGTAAAAGGAACGACGAGAATGATGAGTTGCGCGAGAGGCTACGTCTGTTAGAGCAAGAGCTAATGAGACAACGTAGCCGCAACGTGATTTCACACGATGTCACTGATAACCATCGACGGCGAACCATAGAAAGAATCGCAGCCCTCTCGGAAACGACATTTGTAACCAAGAATCCCAACGGCCAAGGGTCATGGAACCAGCTAATTTCTTTGAAGAATTTGTCAACATTTTTAAGGGTAGGGATCGTGAATCGTTTCCTGTACTACATAATGTTCTTTCGCATTTTGACCCGCTTTCTCGGGAACAGACTATTGACATGTGGATAAGTAAAGTAGACGAATACGCGGAAATTTATAATTGGAATGACCGGCAAACGGTTCACTATGCCCTGCCCAAACTAGTTGGACATGCTAAGACCTGGTACCAGGGCTTGCCATCTATTAGGCATTCGTGGGAAGAGTGGAAGACTTTATTAAGAGAATCCTTTCCGTCTACCGAGAACTATGCTGAATTGCTTACCGAAATGCTTAATAGAAAAGCGCGCCCTGGTGACTCCTTAGAATTGTACTATTTTTCTAAGATTAACTTATTAAATCGCTGTAAAATATTTGGTAAGCAGGCAGTAGACTGCTTAATATTTGGTATTGAAGACAAAGGAATTCGGTTAAGCGCTCAAGCAGGAAAATTTGATAGACCCGAGGAAACTTTAGAGTTCCTTAAGACAGTTAAGTCCCACCCTAGGGAGTACAATGATGGTATTAGGAGAGAGGGGCCAAGTAGAGATAGGCGGTTTCAAAGCTCTACCTCAATTTTGACCAGCACTGTACCACCTAAAAGCGATTGATAAAATCTATCCCTGGATGAGCTTTGTTGCACCGACATATTGTTCTAGTGACGAAAGTATCTAGTTATTATAATAGATGATTACTTTTAAGACTTATTGATTGTTAATGAATAATACAGACTTTGTCACATTATACCCAAAAATGGTTAGCTTAATTTATACTTAACAATATTTCCTTAAACACATATCGTTTAAAATCAATAATATCTTGTTACAAAGGATGTGTTATTTCCTTAATGCATAAATCTACGACTAATTTTCTTGTTGTTATGTTATGCGGGTACCTCACAAATATGTAACTTTAGTACTAATGATCTACTTGTATGACATTATTTTATAGGTAATTATAAATGGGTATTTAATCAAATCGATTATCTTAATAGGAGAATTTAATTAATTTGAGTGAACCATTTGGTGGCGACTGGGAATTAGGATATTGATGATACTTATTTAGGTACATGAGATACTTGCTACCTAGGAACACGAGCTGAATATTACACCCTGCACAGAGCTTCGGTTAGTTAAATCAAACCGAGCATGAGTGCATTTTGAAAAGGATAACTACTTACCCTATTTGAGAGCTTTGGCAGATTTGGCAGATTCGATGAATGATTATGTGCTCAGTGAGGGTGTTTCATAGCACAGAGCTTGGTTGGATGCGAGCTGGACATGAGTGATATGCCCTTGAGGGTCATAGCACAGAGTTCAAGCGGAATCTAACCACGCATGAGTGATATGATATAACACGCAGCCAAGGCAAATTGATGGTGAAAGACGTGAAGTAACCCCCTTTTGTCTAGCTATATCTAAGCATAACAGTAGAGTTGTAGTAAGATTATACTTATTTTTCTCTTAAATTAAAAATCAGATAAAAAAATAATAAACAAGGTTAAAAGTTAGATGATCAGTTTTAATGTTGTTGATTAGAACTCTACACGAAGGGACTCGTTTATGTGACGGATGGCCGACTGTAACAGTCATTAATTTTATCGCTTACCATATTTATACTCATCACTAATTAATAATATTATTCACTTTAAACACTAATTTAATCTAATAGTAATATTCCTAAAAACCCAAGTTATTCATAATCATAATTTTAAGTCGACTCATGAATCGATTGTTTTCCGAATGTTGCAACACTGTCTCGGCCCGCCATTTTTTTGAATTGTGAACCCGCCATTTTTTTGGAATTGTGAACCCGTCGGGTACAGCTGTGCAGCGAGAGTGTTTTGAAAAGTCAAATAAAATACTATTTCAAAGTTTGTGTTTACATCAAGAACCCCATCCTTCTGAGCGTTTCACCAGACGTCCCGTTTTGAACGTGACTGTCCCTTTTTATAGTTATGAGTCCCGGTATCCCCGGTAACCCGGGGAATTGTCCCGTTTTCTGAAACCGCGTGAAAATTTGAGTAGTCGAGCCGGCCGTACGGCCGCGAGCGGTGTGTGAGAGCGAGACCGTGTCACCGGTCGAAACGACGATAGCGGAGAGTGGCGAACACTTCATCGTTCTCGTTTCCTAGTAAATAACTTAAACTTCTTTTGTTGTGGATTCAATATTGTACGTTCAATATTAACTTAAAAGCAAAATATCCGTTTATCAAGTAAAACATACTCCCTCAGATGTCAGATGTGAAAAGTGTCATTTTGACAGCGAAAGTTGTGGCATCTTGCGGAGACAATGCCAACGTTAATTTCGGAGGCGCGGCTAGGCGAGGAACTAACAATGTGTTAACGAAATTACAATCATCTCTGAAAAATTCATTTATAGGTATTGGATGTGGAGCTCATGTAATTCACAATGCCTTAAAATCTGCTGCAGACAGGCTATCCTTTGATTACGTAATTTATTGTGAAGATATATTCCTTTTTTATATTTACACGATTCGAGCTGAAGCTCTAAAAGAGTTTTGGGCCGAACCTGAAACGGAATATCAACAAATGCTCGGCTATAGCAAAACCAGATGGCTTGCTCTTATGCCTGCCTTGGAAAGGGTTTTAAAAATGTATCAGCCATTAAAAAACTACTTTTTGAGTATTGAAAAATGTCCCCTATTACTGTTGTAACATCACTACTTTAGTAAGTAGTAGTATGTCGCATCACTGAGTCACGTAGCAAGATGTACACTCTAGCCCAGCCATTGCTTGATCGTCCGCGACACTGTGTAGACTTAAATCCAGTGAATCCTCTGATCATATGACGATATAATATTCAAAGTCGTTCTTATTTACTGCAATACGTGAAAACACAATTATTACTAAAAAAAATTTTTGAAGATCCCACATCCGAATTGTGGCTTTATTTTTTACACGCTTAGTCAGCAAGTTTTCATCAAGCTGTATTGAAACTGGAAGGTCCGACTGTATCGGCAATAGAAGCTTCAAAAGAAATCAATCAACTACTGGGCAGGGGTATACCGTATACTAATATTCTAATGTAATTAATATAAGTACTCTGGGTATATGATATCCTATATATGCTATATTTTTAAATAATATATTTCTAAATCACATTTTTAATTTCTTTTGTGCATCTACCATGTTTTAGCTCTGCATCGCCCTATGGTTGACTGGGAGAAATGCCTACTGCGTTAAGTTCGCCTTTGTAAATAAATAAATAAATAAACCCCACCCCAGTACTGATTTTAAGCTCCAACTACGAGTGTCACTGGACCTCGTATTGCGACACTACCGGTTTAATTGCCTAAGCAACCAATAAATGACATACTTAGCCTATAGAGCAAACATCATGGTAAGTTTCATTTTAGCGTTACCATTATCTTTTAAATTATTCCATTCATTTTCCAAATTAAAGCTAGAACATGGGTGCTAATCTAATATTTATTATCTAGTTTTTATGTGCTTCAATAAAGCTATCCAGAAAAAAAAAAGATATGAATAAAAAAGACTACCCATTAATAATTTGTTTCAGTTCCCCATCTGAAGTGTGACCATGTCTTGGCAGTGCATCAAACTCGGGAGCAGCTATTGCAAAAGGATAACAGATTTCAACAAAGTAACGAAACTACTGGCATGATCGATTTTTTTTTAACTGTATTTGGTTTTCAGGTCCGTAATAGGCGGTGGTAAATCATTCCAGCACTTCTTCGCTGAGTACTTAAAGGGGCCCCCGGAATGCTGCAGTTTTGTGTTTTGGTATGGACAGTGCAATGTTTGAGGTTCTGGTGGAGTATGAGCAATGATCAAGCCTCCAGTCTATCTTCTTATATAGATAAGTTGGTTTTTCGCTTATGATTAAACCAGGCTGGCTAGATGTAATTTTGTCCTGGCTTCCATTGTTCTCATTTATGTACGGTGTTACATGATCTCTCTATGGTATTTTGAAGCAATAACGATGACGTGTGTTTTGCATTCTTTGTGTTAGGTTCTTAGTTTTAGCTATACTACGTAACTGCCACTTAAGTAACTGTATCATAATAGTTAAATCTGGATAGTATGAGACAGTCTACAAGTTGTTTTCTCAGATTTGTGCTGAGAGAGTCACGTATGTTGTATAGAACATTTAACCTGTAGAAGCAGTTCTTTACAATTTTATTTATGTGTCCCTCAAACCGTAGCTCTGAATCCAACCCCAAGCTAGAGACTTCCTCCACCCTTACAATTCTTTGACCGTTCAAAGTGATTGTGGGCGCATATTTCAAAATTGTCTGAAGTTGTCTCTTACTACCCAGTATCAATAATTTTGATTTGAGTGGGTTTCATATCAGTGAGTGTTCCCTAGACCACCTAACTACTCTTTTCTAAGTCATCAGTGATTTTTGTCATTGCTGAGAGGGTGTGATAAGGAAGGATTACGGCTGTTCACTTAGGATATGACAGAATCGTACGTGTCGCTGATTCTGCCCGCGGTGCCGGCCGCATATATGGCGGTTATCGCGGGAAAGAGTAGCCTATGTCTTTCCTCAAGTATCAAAATATGTCCATGAGAAATTTCATCTAAATCAATTCAGCGGTTATTGATTCCCCATACGAACTTCCACCCCCCTTTTCGCAGCCTTAAAGGATGATTTCTGGGATAAAACTACCCTATATCCTTTCCGGGGACTCGGACTATCTCTGTACTAAATTTCATCTAAATTGGTTCAACGGTTTAAGCGTGAAGCGATAACAAACAGACAGACTGGTACTTTTTTGCATTTATAGTATTAGTATGGATTTTTCATTTGTAATTTTTCTTAATTAAAAAGGGGTGCCTGAATTAGGCACTCCTTTTTAACAGTACTTTTTCTGTATCAACACTTTCAGAGTTTTAAGAGTATTTAACGAAATAGCATTGGGATAGTTTAAGTTAAACTACCCCTAATCCTATTTTGTTCTATACTCTTCAAAAAGCGTAGTTATGGAAAATTTCATGACAATGATCGGTTAGTATTATAGGAGTTAAAATAAAAAAAAATTCATTCGTATTACTTTTATTAGTTAAGATACACTCAAGTGCTTGAGTGTCGTTGAAATATTTGGACTTATCTTACAAAATAAAACAAAGACGGGCTAGCTACACCATTTATAACTCAAGAACGGCCGGACCGATTTTTATGTTTGAATTTAAAAATGATGAAATAAGATTATGAGGTAAAATCATTTTCTCATACATTTCGTAAACCTAACACGAATGAAGAGCAGAGCTGCGACCAAAAACACATGTAAAACCGCGGGGAACTACTAGTTACGAATTAATAAGAATAAGTGAAGAAAAACTACACAAAAAAATCCTCCCAAATTTCATTCAACAGTATGTTTAAACAAATGCATACTATAATTCCAGAAGGAGACATGGAAATAAAATAAATACATTAACAAATAAATTCTTACACGTAACCACATCAGCGTCTAGCGTTAACCCTACACTCTTGAATCACCAAAATAAATAACATCAAAAATTGTTTGTTATTAAGACAGAGTTAGTTTTACTAGGTACATATTATAACATCGAAAATTAAAACAAAAAGACCATAAAACCGAAAGTTTATAGTGTCAAATGGTTACCTGACCTATTTCAAATATATCTAAAATCTATTCGTGTTTATAATAAAATCTATTATAACATACTTATTAAAGAATCAGAATTCAGAAGGTACGTGTTACAAATATTTTTCGTTTCAAAATCGTCGAGGATCGCGGAGTCCAAATATTCATTGATAATCGCGGCACATCTCAAGTCCGAAGTGATATTTGCAAGGGATGAGCCTAACTGATGAACGACTACTGTTTGTTTTGAGAGTTTCTGCAGAACTGCTTGTTGTAATTGTGCATGTCCTAACGCAGCACGTAGTAGCACAATCTGTGAGCGTAACTGCCGCCCATCGTAACCCTTATAATTAAGCATGTAATTGATGCGTGCTACTGCATATTCCATGAGCGTCCGTGCGTACTGCCCTGAATGTGCTACACGGCCGAGAAGTATTCGCACGTATGCTTCAATTTTCTCAGAACACGTTTTTTGTGAAATGTCTTCCAATAGCGTAAATGCTTCACCGCCCATTAAAGTATAGATGTGCCGTAGTATGCCATTTTGCAGCTGATCTTCATTTTCAAATTCCGCCAGTTGAATGCTAAGTTCATCTGGTAACTCGTGCGGTGCACATCCGACACAAAATACCTTGCCAGTTAATCCTAAAACAGTATGGCATAGATATAAATATATGTGTGACTAAGAATCTAAATATAGGAAATATTATTATCACTTACCGCGATCTTCTAGTATTGCAGCCATTTCCAGAGCAACGGCAACGCCAGACTCATAGCCCAAAAGATGGAATGTGTCGTCCATTTCAATTTTTTTCAAATAAACCTACATAAACAGAAATCCACACTCAAGTTTTAACATAACACTGTTCCAGAAAGCGTGGTCAGTCAAATGACCCTTTAAGGCACTATAGAATATGAATTTCTAAAAATCATTATATTTAATAATAATAATCTCCATAGGTATTATCTAGATTGGATTTAGAACAATGACTAAGTCTAATTCACCTTTACAAATCTTTCCGCCGTTTCTCGCACAGTTTCATAGGGATGGTCCAGTCCGGGCTGCAATACTAGTGCGGGTAACTTAAGCCGCTCACAAAGAACGCGGAACCGATTATAATGGCCTTCTATTCCTGGCACTATGCACAAGTTGACCTTACTGGGTTCATGGTCGTCATCTCTCTGGAATTACAGTTTTATTATTTTCTTGCAACCAAAAATAATGTTACAATCATAAGAGTTTTGTAAAGTCCAGTACATACCAAAGCCGCACCTTTAGCGAGTGTTGGCAAGTACATCATATCCACAGTTGCTTGAATTTCGTCTGGGTCTACGTAATTGAAGAAAGTATATAAACCTTTTGTGTCTTTAAAACCAAAATCTTTTACTTTCCGTTCCTCTTGCAACAATCTAAAAATAAATCATTTTTGCTTCACATTATTTTGCGCATTTGCTAAATTCATCCCTAACAGATGTGTATGTGTGTATTGGTAAAGAATAGGTTTCAAAAAAATGAATAAATGTTACTTATATGAATAGAAAATTATTTGAACTTTAGCAGGAAACTTGATCCTTCTAAAAATGTAAAATATTTAAGATTAATAAATATATTTCTCCTAAATGAAAAATACCAATTAAAATGTTCTAAGTAGAGCCAATATGTAAAACATGGCTATTAAAGATGGCAAAAGAAATCAGTCAGTCAGTTTGCTGAAAACAGGACAAAACAAGATGCTTTTCTACCAAACTACTTTTCATAAGTTCTTTAAATTAAAACCTAGCCCCATCTTTCACCGGAAATACACTATCAAATATGCCAAGACTATTGTGCTAATCCAAATAGCATTGAAGGTTGTGATTAGTACCTGTCACAGGAAAAACCTCTGTTCTAGTAATATAATAGGATAGGAAATTGTAGTCTATGAATGGATAATACTTACTGTTCTATAGTTAACGAAGACACCTGTTCTTCATCAAGTCCAAGGTTATACTGAACCCGCAAGAATGCACAGAGTGATTGCAATTTATTATTTCCAATACCCAATTGTTCTAGAGTCGTTGTCTTTGGAGTGTTTTCTGGTATGCTTAATCCTGTACATAAATTATTTTTATGATTCGCCAATATAACGATAATTTGTTTATCTTCAAATTTTCAAAGAGTATGACGTCACGCAAAAAAGCGATTTGCGAGAAGCCCTAAATCTAGGCTAATGCTAGTGCTAGGAGAGGCTAATGTCCAGCAGAGGACTGCGATAGGCTGATGATGATGATGATGATGACGTCACGCAGTAGTGCTACATACAAAACTGCACCGCTACCGGTGATATACTTACTAGTCTTTAAAAGTACTTTATTCTTCACTAAACATTACCAAATGAGTTTAAGACCACTTACCAGTCAGAGATTCAATTTGTTTAAGTAAAGAGGGTTTCGGTCCACGCTCTAGATGTGCTAGGATGACACCGCGAGTATGTTGTAACGCGCTTTCTAAAGCGTCCATCGCACTCCGCCATTTTGGATAGCTGTTGTATGATTCCTAATGAACAAAAAGTTAACATGTTTTGTACTAATTTTCATAATCTTTAAGAATACTCTCAACTAAGCAAAACACAACCCTGATTCTACGATGTAAAGAACCCGTTGTTTTCGTAACTGTAAACCATTTTATACGAAAACTATAACCATTTAACTATACTATATATACTATCATATAGATATTGAATACATAACATATTCACTTACACTTTTGAGTTCAGGCAGCGTGACCACCGTTGCTGGTAGTTGATTGTAAATTCTGTTCAGACACACATCCTTCTCAATAGAATTGTCCCTAAAGTACACAACTACGAAGTGTCTGAAAATACAAAATGCTTTTAAACTCTCTGAAATACAATTGTGCATGATGCAAGAAATGCATGGTTAATGACATACTTTAAGTCGCAACTAATGTTTTTTGTCTCCACATCCAAATCACTTATCAGACTTGAATAAATGTCATTATTATTGTCGTCTGTTGTCACATAAACACCTTCTAGAGGACCCAAGCGCGTAGCATTAGTTAACAAAGAAGCTACAGCTTTCTGACTATTCAAACGTTCCGAAGATATACCAACTTTGACTCCCAACTCTTGCCAAGACCTAAAAATATACGTTTATTTAATATTTATTAATACTTATTCAATACAGTAAAATAAAAAATTAAATTTAAAAAATTAAATTTAAAATAATATAATTAAAATAATATGTATATAAAAAAAATATTAAATAAAGTCCCAATGCCCTTTATTCTGGGACAGGAAGGAGGCACTCAGTGATCGGCAACACACAATGTCTCTTGAGTTACAGAACAGGTAGGTTTTAAACAGGGATATGTAACGTAAGTCTGTCTGTCGTATCATAGCTTCTGAACGAAAAAACCGACTTATTGGAGTTTATTTTTTAAGAATCGATTTTCATTTAAGGCGCCCCAGTGTGACATAAATATGAAGAGTAAAATGTGATCGAATGACACACTTATTTTTTGATTTGGTTTTTTGTTTGAAAGTTGATTTAATGGAGAGCAATAACTCAAGGATTATGTCAAACCGTTTGAAGGTTTTCTGCTCGTTTCTGATTCTTGAAGAGTTTTATGATCGTTTCTTACAGTTTTAAGTTCATTAAAAATTAAACAGTACCGAATTTTATATTGTAAGTAAGACGATTGCTTCTGAACATGGACGTAGAGTAGCTTCACACCTTTAGCGACAAGTCTATCGGCTAGTTGTACTCCAAATGACGTGCTGTTACACAGTATCAGGTAACAGTGATCTGGACTACATTTTAATCTGAAAATAATATATTTCAAATCATTAAAGCAGTTGATAAAGATATTCATTTTAAACAAACTTATTCTGCAGAATTTTCTACTAATTTTCTACGCGTACGTAGGTGTAACGTATCATACGTTACACCTACGTACGCGTCTTAGAACTCCATTTAGGTGAAAAATCGAATTTGAAGAGAAACACCGGGTGGTGTTTAAGAGTGAAAAATCAAGAAACGTATTGAAGTCGATAATACATTATTAAATGTTAATTATTATTACTATCTGAAGGTCAATTCTGGTAATAAAAAAATCGTTCAAAATTTAATTCCGATCTACTCTCGCTCTCACAAATATCATAAAAGGTATTCTCATAGTTAATTATAACTGAGGCTAGCACAATACCGATTCAACTTTCGGTCACATTAGAGTCAACATTGGTTGTTTAATGCTTAATGTTAGTCGGCTCTTAAGACACGCACGGTATCAATAAAATACCAAAACTGTAATTAGATGTAATACAGCATTTTAGTACAGTACAGTATAGATTATGGTTTATGGCTCTCAAAACATTGTTCAGCGGTAAAGACGTAAGAAGATATGAAGCAAACAAACTTACATATTTATTTCAAGCTTACCTGTATTGTGCTTGTATAGTGTTATCTTTCATACGCAGTAAAACACGGCCTCTATGTGAGTTTTCAGCCAGGAACCTGAAGGCACGTGCGACTTCGCCTGTCGCATACGTTATTCGAGACAGTGGACGAACGTATCCGCGTGCAATACCTTCGCTTATCATTTTGTTTATGACCTGTTGTGTAAGTGGTATATAATATAATTGTTGTTACGCTCACCTCATGACATCGAATGTACTAGAAAAGTCAGTCCTTATTTTAGAAGTTTCCATAGCGATATTTAGTCAGTCCGGTTATTATGAGATTTGACAAGAAAGTTTATGAAACTTCTAAAATTTTATGTACCCGCCGTGATGGGTTGTGGACTCATTCTAATTCTGCGATATGGTAATAATAAAATAAATAAACAAGTGTGAAATGATAACAAAAAATATTAACGAAATTTAGTGAGATATGTTGTTAATTGTAGATTATTCCAATTAATTTAAAGGAGTTTTGTCTATTTCGTGATTACATTGATCATCACGAGCCCTAGCTCATAATATAATAATATTTACACACAAGAATTTATAACAATCAAAATAAACAATATAAGTTTAGATCCTTCAAGTTTTTGGGAGTATATAAAGGAAAAGCGAAAAAATAGGCAGCAGACAAAAACATATACTTATAAAAGTCAAGTTGTAGAAGGCCAGGAAGCCATTGACTCGTTTGCTAAATATTTTAGTTCAGTGTTCCACGATACTTCTCCGTTGTTAGATGTGAAGGTAGCTGAGGAAGAGGCTAATCGTTTAGGCTGCCTATCCACAGTGACTATTGAACGAGTTACAGCTACCGAACTTAAGTGTGCTGTACGGCGACTAAAAGCTTCAATAGCTTGTGGTCCTGACAACATACCTGCCTTTTTAATAAAGGATTGTTTGTCAGCTTTGGAAGGGCCGTTACTTCATGTTTATAATCTCTCGCTTAGACAATGTTTATACCCTAGTAAGTGGAAAGTGTCCAGGGTGACGCAAATACCCAAATGTGGAACATCCGCAGACATAACAAACTATAGACCTATTGCTGTATTGTGTGTATTTGGAAAGATATTTGAATCTGTCCTCAATAACGCCATTTATAAACAAATAAAGGGACAATTGAATGATTGCCAGCATGGGTTTCGTCCTGGACGCTCCACGTTAACTAATCATTTAGAATTTGTAGATTTTATAAATACTAGAGTTAAGTCTGGCTGTCAAGTAGACGCCGCATACTTTGATTTTAAAAAAGCGTTTGATCTCGTCGATAATGATGTACTTTTAAACAAATTTTCTGTATTGGGCTTTTCAACTTCTCTATTAAAATTTATGGCAGATTACTTAAAAGATCGTAAGCAGTTTGTTAAGGTAGAAGGATATAAATCGGAAGAATATTATACTCGATCAGGGGTCAGTCAGGGTAGTGCCTTAGGTCCTATGCAATTTCTGATAATGATCAATGATTTACCTAATGTTATATTAAATGCAAAATGTCTGATGTTTGCCGATGATCTCAAACTGTACCTATCTGTAAATGAAGCAAAGGATTGTTTGGCCCTACAACATGATATTGACGCTGTAGTTGAGTGGAGTCTAAAAAACAAGTTATCATTTAATAATTCCAAATGTAAAACTATCACCTTTTCTCGATCCCGTAATCCGATTACAAATACATATCATCTTGCAGGCGCCCCAATGGAACGTGTTCCCTCAATCAAGGATTTGGGAGTGACAATGGATAACAAATTAAATTTTCATGACCAGATACTTAAAATATGCAAAGACGCTAATAAATGCCTTGGTTTCATCATCAGAATATCTTCACAATTTAAGAGCACTCAAGTTATAATACAAATATACAATACTTATGTGCGTAGTAAGTTAGAATATAATGCAATAGTCTGGGGTCCACGGGAGTCGTTGTATAATATTATGATAGAAAAAATTCAACGTAAATTCTGTAGATACCTATATAAGCGTCAGTATGGATACTACCCCTTTCTCTATCCTTCACTGTTTGTGTCAGGAATGGTGGGTTTAGATACACTTCAACTCAGACGGGAATCTACACATATAATGCATTATTGTTTGATACTGGCGAATAAGGTAGATAGCCCTGTTGTACGGGAAACAATAAATTTTTATGTTCCCGACCAATATATGCGTGCCGTTGGAAGACGACAACATAGACTCCTGTGCTGTCCGCCTACGTGGCGCTCTCCCCAGGCTGACCATAGCCCCACTGCTATAGCAATTAGGCTTATCAATGAGTTCCTTCAGTATAGTCCAGATGCAGATATATTTTTCGACTCCCAAAGCATAATTAATATTATTTAACGGGAATTAACGCGATCTCTTATTTAGGGTATTACATACCTCTGGTTTGCCTGACGTTTCGACCAGGTTGCACCGGCCGTGGTCACAGGCTGACTGGCTCATCGGCGCACGCCCTCCGTCGTCGAATCCGTGAAGTAGAAGGCTCTTCATCTACCCGCACATTTTCGATATTATTTTTGTGTCGCCATGTACCGTCACATACCACACTAACAGTGTCCCTATTCTGTAAGCAAACCGATGAGTCCCTATTCTGGTGTTTAACCGATTGCGCAGAAAAGCGAGTTACACACACTGTTAGTGTGGTATGTGACGGTACATGGCGACACAAAAATAATATCGAAAATGTGCGGGTAGATGAAGAGCCTTCTACTTCACGGATTCGACGACGGAGGGCGTGCGCCGATGAGCCAGTCAGCCTGTGACCACGGCCGGTGCAACCTGGTCGAAACGTCAGGCAAACCAGAGGTATGTAATACCCTAAATAAGAGATCGCGTTAATTCCCGTTAAATAATATTAATTATCATGGAACGCGAAAGTTTAAAAGTTAGTATCCCAAAGCATAATTTTAAAAGATATTTATACATATCTAAATTTTGGTCCGTGTGGTGACGGATTAAGAATACAGAGTGTCACCACCCCTATTCATCCCGTGGGTGTCGTAAGAGCCGACTAAGGGAAAAAACTACGCAAGACAACAGCACTGCAGAGAGAAGGAAAACTTGACACAAACCCTTTTTTTTTTTTTTTTTTAACGTGTGGAAATCCCCTCGGACCGTCACCCCTCCGGGGTTTGCGGCGGGGTGGTGTGTCGGACTCGGACCGACTAAAACCACACGGTGTGCCACTCTGCGCCTGTAACAGGAGGGATCCGGGAACAGCTGTTGTTAAGACATCCGGACCCCTCCTAGCGCCAGCCCGCTCCTGGTGCGGGCTCCGTCTCGATATTATTCCTCTCTTTAGGCGACGTCCGGCACACGCGGACGCCGCCCCCTCGCGGCTGGCCAACTAATGCGGGTGGAGGGGAAACCCACCCCGTCCACCCGCGGCCACACTCAGGGCGGCATGAGGCTGTGGTAGGCGGGCCTCCGCCGCCCGGTTCGCCGGCGGCGGATCGGGTCCGAGTGGAGGTCGTCCTCCCGGGCCCTCTCCGCCGCCTCCTTCCGCGAGATTACTACCTCGCAGAAGGTTGCGACCGCGGTAAAACAACTGTCGCTACCGGCCATGGAGCGTACTACGGCCGGTAGCGAGAGATCCACTCCGATGACTGCAGTGAGGGCCCGACGCTGCGCCGCCCATGCGGGGCAGACCGCCAGCGTGTGCTGGGCCGAGTCCTCACTGCAGTCGCAGTGGTGGCAGGCGGGACTCAGTTCCCTCCTAGCGACCGTGTGCAGGTACTTCCCGAAGCAACCGTGCCCGGAAAGCACCTGCGTCAGTCGGAAGGAAAGGGTCCCGTGCTGCCGCCCTGCCCACTCGGCGATGACCGGCTGGAGAGCCTCCACGGCGGCGAAGCCAGCGCGTGGAGTCTCCAGCCGGAACGACCAACGAGCCATCGTGGCTCGGCGAGCGGCTTCGCGCCACTCGCGCACATCCTCGGGCGGAGGGCGAAATCCGCTCTCCGCCCGGAAGTCAGCCACTCGCCGATAAACTTCGGCGAGCACTTCCGCCTCCAAATCCCACGGGGGAGTTCCGGCCAACGCGCACGCCACCTCCGTCGAAACGGTGCGGTAACCGCGTATGGCTCTGACCGCCATTACCCTCTGAGGGCGCCAGAGGCGTACCCTATTCTGGGCGGTCAGAGCCGCCGCCCACACCGGTGCACCGTACAGTGCCATTGACCGGACAACCCCCGTGTACAGCCGTCTTGTCGCGACGCTGGGTCCACCCATATTGGGCAAAAGTCGCCCTAGGGCAGACGCAGCGCCGACCAGCTTTGGAGCAAGCTGTCGGAAGTGCTCGTCGAAGAGCCACCTCCCGTCGAGGATCAGGCCCAGATATTTCATCTGGGCCCGAACCGGTACGAGGACCGAGTTGACCACTATTGAGGCGCCAGGGGGTGGACCACGACGGGGCCCATGGAATAACAGGGCCTCCGTCTTATCTAGGGCCACCCGTAAGCCCAGCGCCTCAATGCGCCCGACCACCAGGGAGACTCCCCCTGTGGCCAGGCGCGCCGCCTCTTGGAAGTTTGCCCCCCGGGCTGTCACGAGGGTATCGTCTGCGTAACAGATTACACCCAGCCCGGGGGGGAAATCGGCGCGAAGGGCCCAGTCGTACCCTATGTTCCACAAGAGGGGTCCAAGAACAGACCCCTGTGGAACACCGCACGACATGGGCCGACACCTCAGATTACCTTCTCGGTCCTCGTACACGACGGTACGCTCCTCTAAATAGTCTGCCACCAGCCGCCTCAGGTACTTTGGCACCCCATGATAGTGGAGTGCTTCCCTGATGCAGCTGAATGGCAGACTATTGAATGCGTTGGCGATGTCTAATGACACCGCCAACAGCACGCCGCCACAGCTCACGGCCTCTTCGGTCACGGCCCTCAGGCGCAACACGGCGTCGACTGTCGAACGCCCCGCCCGAAAACCAAATTGGGCGTCCGACAGATCGGGGCCCACCTCGCAGAGGTGCCGGACGATGCGGGCAGAAAGAACCCTCTCAAACAATTTGCCCGCCTCGTCCAGCAGCACGATGGGCCTATAGGCCGCGACCGAATCGGCAGGCCGTCCCGGCTTCGTCAGTAGGACCAGCTTCCCGCTCTTCCAGCACTCAGGGAAGCGTCCCGACGCCAAGCTAGCGTCGAACACCTCCCCGA